AAGGTAAAAAGAACTGTGTTATCTTCAGTTAGTCAGTTACCTAAACGTATGTTTGGATCACATTACCCTGTGTGAAAAAATGGTGGTTTTTGATGGGGTATCTTTTCTAAATGTCCCTTTCTCCCCCTAGGCTCATTCAGTCATTTCTATGGTACCAGAATCTCCAATCCGTTCTCTTATTTTGGGCTTAATAGGAGCAGGAACGACGAGTCCACCTCTACTTTGGCTCAGAGGAAACTTTGCAAATGATTCTCTTCTGTTCTGTTGCCACCTTCGTCAGCGGCAAGTTTTCCCTCCTCATCCTCGACCATACTTCTGGTGTCTGGGTCTCCCACCTCCAAATCCGAAGGATTCCCAGGATTCTCGCAGGATTGTCTTCAATCACTGGGTCAGCTTGCTTTGACACCCTTCCACTCCTCTCTCCGGTCCTCAAGACATGCAGAACGCCCATTTTGTCTTTCCCACTTTGAGGAATTCTGGGAGTCCTCCTTCCTTTTCACTTTAAATTTATCCTTTGCTTACTGCTCTTCCCTCCAACCCTTCCTCCATCTAGCCTATAAATGGAAGGGATTTTTATGTATAGGCTTCTTTTAGTCCCATTCTCAGGCTAGAAACTTCTTTGAGTTTTGTTTTTCCTCCCATTCTGGCTAGAAGAAGGAAAAGAAACAGCCTGGAGTATTGTCAAGAAAGTGGAGGGGACTAGAACCTACACGCAGATTAAGATTTCAAGATATAATTCTGCTACAGTAGAGCTTTGCCTCAAATTTCTTCTATTAATTTTAAGGTGACTTTGAAACTGACTTTGAAGGAAGCCTCAAGCAAATCTTTGTTTGAAAATGCTTTTCTTTTCTTTTTTTTATTGCAGTCATAATAGTTTACACACTATGAAATTTCAGTTGTATGTTATTATTTGTCCATCACCATGTAAGTGCTCCCCTTCACCCTTTGTGCCCACCCCTAGTCCCCTTCCCCCTGGTAACCACTGAACTGTTCTCTTTGTCTGTGTGTTTGTTTATCTTCCACATATAAGTGACATTATATGGTATTTGTCTTTATCTGGTTTGTTTCACTTAACATAATACCCTCAAGGTCCATCCATGTTGTTGCAAATGGGATGATTTTCTCCTTTTTTATGGCTGAGTAGTGTTCCAAATTGAATATATATACCACAACTTCTTTATCCCATCATCAGTCGATGGGCACTTAGGTTGCTTCCACATCTTGGCTATCGTGAATAATGCTGCAGTGAACATAGGGGTGCATAAGTCTCTTTGAATTGTTGATTTCAAGTTCTTTGGATAGATACCCAGTAGTGGGAGATCTGGGTCATATGATATTTCTATCTTTAAATTTTTGAGAAATCTCCATACAGTTTTCCATAGTGGCTGCGCCAGTTTGCATTCCCACCAGCGGTGTATGAGGGTTCCTTTTTGTCCACATCCTCTCCAACACTTGTTATTTTTTGTCTTGGTGGTTATAGTCATTCTAACAGGTGTAAGGTGATATCTAAGCATAGTTTTGATTTGCATTTCCCTGATGATTAGTGATGTTAAACATCTTTTCATGTGCTTTTCTTTTTTTTTGGTGAGGAAGACTGACCCTGAGCTAACATCTATTGCCAATCTTCCTCTTTTTGCTTGAGGAAGATTGTTGCTGAGCTAACATCTGTGCCATACTCCCTCTATTTTGCATGTGGGATGCTGCACCAGCATAGCTTGATGAGTGATGCACAGGTCTGTGCCCAGGATCCAAACTGGTGAACCCTGGGCCACTGCTAAAGCTGAACATGCAAACTCAACCACTGTGCCACCGGGCCAGCCCTGAAAATGCTTTTCTTGATCTCATCATTAGCCCATCCTTTTCTTTAGCTGTAGCCTCTCTCAATATCCCTGAACTCAGATGAACAAAGTTTGGAAATCTCTGGAGGTTTTCAGGGCTCCTTGGGGCTCTGAAAAAATGATCCTTGATTCTTTCTTTGGAGTAGGAAGAACACTGCTTTTTCTTGGCCTCGGTTAGTTTTCTGGAAGGAACAGCTATGTGGCTGCTCCTTATGCTACAGAGTATCAGTTTCCCTGGACTTAGTGTGAAAATATAGGCCACTTCTCTTCTCTAAGTCAGAGGTCCTGTATTGACAAGGTGATTTTAAAACTGCTAATTGGGAGGAAAATTTTTCAGGAGAAGAAAGATAGGGAGGAAAGCTTCTGAGTCACAGTTAGCCAAAGAGTACCGCTCTGAGAGCTGCTCTCAAGCCTCCTGACTGGAGGCAGCTCGGCGGTGGGCTTTTGCATCTCCGAAGCTGGGACCATGGATGTCTGGATCTGGACAAGGGCCTGGTGCCATCAAGGTTTCCCTTTGATAATAAGAGTCCTTCACACTCTGTTGATTCAAATCAGAGGGATCTACATCTGTTTTCACATCTCACTGATTACTTTGTATATGGCACTGCATGTTCATTTAGGCTCAAAATTGCATCCATATATTTCCGGCTTTCCATGATCTCTTTTGCTCCATTTGCTCTTGTGAAATATTTCCAATTATTTGGGTGCCCAATTGTTCGTGAAGTGGTCGCTCAGTTTGTGCCAAAAAGGCATTTTTAGAAAAAAAGATTAATCACCATCATGATGTTATATGCTGATTTCAAAAAGACCTACCATTTAAGCTCATTGAGAGATTAAATGATTTCCCTCTTCCCAAACTTTGAAATAATCTTTCTTGCAAATCTTTTAGTGATTTTTCTTTTGTAGTTGAAGTGTTAGCTGTTGTGTCGCGACAAGAGTGTCTCGTGTCAGTTCAGCCTGCACTCGGGGATCTTGGATGGAGCCATGACACCCAGGGACAACCAAACCTTTAGTTCATAGGCCAAGTGACCCAAGTGGCATGGTAAGCGTCCTTTGGCGATGGTGGCATCAACCAGAATTGAGGCGGCCATTCCAGGCTGAGGATCTGGAAACATCTTTTTCGCCTCCAGTTATAGTCTTCTGACATCCTACTTTTCCTTATATAGAAAACAAAGCTACCTGAAAAGAACCTGTGCGCCCTCATTGTCTTAAAGGAAACTGTGGTCAGATTCATTCTAGCTGATGTGTAGGATCCATGGTTAGAGGATTAGCTTTTTGGTATAAAAACTTGTTTATTTTAATCATTTGGGGTAGAAATATTTTTGAAAATGTATTACAGATTTTTAGTAGACATACGTTAGTGGCCGCTTAACTCACTAACATTTCTCCTGTCTTTGGACATTATTAGTATTATTAGTTATTACTGCATAACAAATTACTCCAAAACTTCAAGGCTTAAAATAACGGACATTTGTTATCTCACAGTTTCCGTGAGTCAGGAATGCAGGCATGCTTAGCAGGTGTCTGTGGCTCAGGTCGCTCATGAAGTTGCAGTCAAGCTGTCAGTGGGTCTCATCTGAAAGTTTGACTAGGATGGGGGTGGAGATTCACTGCCAAGGTCATTTATGTGGCTATTGGTAGATCTTGGTCCCTTGTCCCATGGGACTTTTTGTAGGGCTGCCTCATAATGAGGCACAAGGTAGACCCAAGGCAAGTGACTCAAGAGATCACACATGCCTAAGACGAAAGCCGAAGTCTTTGTATAATCTAATTTTGGAAGGGACATCACTTTTTTCTATTCTAATCATTAGAAGTGAGTCAGTAAGTCCAGCCCACACTCAAGAGCAGGGGATCACACAGGGTGCGATCTAGCAGTCTGTGCATGCTAGCAGTCTACCAACCACAGGCCCTTGGGAACCTTGTCTATTTTGCTTGCTTATTAGTTGATTGATTGGAGCGGGGGTGGAGAAAACTCTCTCTCCTGGGAACTTGAGGGAAACCTAGGAAGAGTTAGCCAGCCTCTGCGTATGTCTAGTCCTGAAATAGAAGCCTTAGGAGATGCACCCTCTCTCTTGCCTGGGGAGGGAGCTGGTCTGTTCAGACTATGAAGTACATGTGCAGAGAAGCAGAGACAAGACGCGGGCAGACAGTGTTCTCCGGCTTCCCACCTGTTCTTCTGCCTTTGGGTTTCATGAAACACCTCTGTAGCCTTTTAATTAATGCTTCCTCTGACTCCCCCAGGAGCTTCTCAACTTAGTCTTGTTGGTTCAGATACTTGCACACAGAGAGTCCTTCTCTGTCATCTGAAATAGAATATAGTAAACAGCATTTATTTTTTATCATTATGACATTAATTTTGCCGATATTCGGTGAATGCATACTTTGTGCAAAGCACTGTCCTGGACAGTGGGAGAATGATGGTGAACAAGATGGGCAAGACCCCTGCCCTCATGGATCCCACTGTCTAGCCCAATTTTTCTTAAACTCTGATGAAATGAGAACCTTAAGATTTATTGAGCTATGTGAAGCCATTTTCCATTCTTTTGTGCTTTTTTTAAGATTTGGTCTCCATATTTTATGCTTTCCTTGTTGATATCTGTTAGTTGTGGGTTTTCTTTTCTTTGTCTTTTGGTGTTATTTTATTGTGGACCTAGATAGGAGGCATTCAACATTGTCAGAACTATGTGTCAAGTAAGAGTAAATAGTTTATAGATGAGGGTCTAGAGAGTTCTTTTATGAGAGTTGTCTACACACCTTAGTTTATCTATTTTGGTGCTTGCTAGCCTTTCTTGCCCGCTTCCTTGTTTTCACTTATATCCTGGATAAGTCAGGTTGCTTTTAAAAGAGTCACAATGAGAGGTCATGTGCTTATTTCATCAACCTGTAAAAGCTCAAAATATTTGGAAGGTATATAATCACTGAGAAGTTTCAAGCTGGCTAGTATCCCACCCAACGAATGGGAAATTGAATTCCTGTTCAGCAAATATTCACTCTCTTCCCACTCCTCCGTGGGGTGCAGTTAACGTCCTTACTTCAGTAACTTTGCATTTGGCCGCGTGATTTGCTTTGGTCAATGAAATTTGACTGGATGTAATGCAAGTAAAGGCTTTAAAGGTGCGTGTGAGGTTTGACTTGTCTTCTTGCATTCTTGTGCTTGTACAGAGAAGAACATGCCCCAGATGTTCATGGCCTCTTCTGCCTGGACCCCAGATTGAAACATATGGAGCAGACACAAACCCACCCTGAACCCTGGAACCACGCCACCTAATTCTCCGCAGAAGCAGAGCCACTCCAGCTGATCTGCGACCCTTACATGAGAAAAGTACACTGCATGAGCCTTTGAGTTTTGGGTCGTTTGTTACACAACACGATTGCAGCGATAGCTGTCTACTACATTGGTTGAATTCAGAGGGGCAAAATGATAAGAGTATTCTAGTAGACAGAATAATGACCCCCCAAAGATCTCCGTGTTCTAATCCTGGAACCTGTGAATGATGCCTTCCAAGGCAAAAGGGACTTTGCAGCTGTGACTAAGTTGAGGATCTTGAGATGAGTGGGTCACCCTGGTGGGTCCAATGTAACCTCCAAGGGTCTTTATAAGAGGAAGGCAGGAGAGGCAGAGTAAGAGAAGGAGATGTGACAACAGAAGCAGAGGTCAGGGTGATGAGGCCATGAGGCAAAAGATGAGGGCAGGCTCTAGAAGCCGTGAAAGGAGAGCTTTTAGAAGGAAAGCAGCGTGACCAACATCTTGATTTTAGTTCTGTGAGATCTGTTTCAGACTTCTGACCTCTAGCACTGGAAGACAATAAAGTTGTATTGCTTTAAGCCACTAAGTTGTGGTAACGGTTACAGCAGCAATGAGACTAATACAAATATATTAAGATTAAAAGGATAATTGCTATTGCTCTCCCTGTTAAAGGAAAATATTTATATTTAAAATAATACACTATGAAATCATCCTACTAATGCATTTAGAAAGTATCCTTTCCTGGAGTCAATCACCTCAGTGTATTTCCATTAACTTTTCACTTAATGTGATTGAAGAATCAAGATGGTAGCATTATCTTTTAAGTAGATTATAATCATCCTATGGAAGAATAAATGTGTAATACATAAATACTTCACAATTCATATTAACTGCATAGGGGTGAGGGTGGGGTAAAGCTTGTCCAAATTAATAAAATATTAAAAATATTAAGTACTTTATGAGAAATACAGATTTATTACTTTTAAGTAATGCAAGTGACTAAAATTACATTAATGAAGAGCTAGTAGATGTTGCTAGCTATTGACGCTTTAAAAATATACCTGCATATATCCTACGCACAGAGACTTGGGTTCAAAAAGGACAAAAGGGGTAAGAGGTTGGAGAATCTGTTTTTTATATCTATTACTATTATCTATTATTTATAATTTGCAAATATACTAAAGTATGGAATAGTTCTTAACTTTTGGGAGATTACATACTCTCGCTAAGATTTAATGATTATTATCATTTTGCTATATTTACTTTATGTGTTTTAAAAACTTTTTTTTTATTGAGTTATTGATAGGTTACAATCTTGTGAAATTTCAGTTGTACATTAATGTTTGTCAGTCATGTTGTAGGTGCACCACTTCACCCTTTGTGCCCACCCCCCACCCCACCTTTCCCCTGGTATACACTAAACTGTTCTTAGTCCATAATTTTAAATTCCTCATATGAGTGGAGTCATACACAGATTATCTTTCTCTCGCTGGCTTATTTCGCTTAACATAATTCTCTCAAGGTCCATCCATGTTATTGCAAATGGAATGATTTTGTTCTGTTTTGCAGCTGAGTAGTATTCCATTGTATATCTGTACCACATCTTCTTTATCCATTCGTCTGTTGATGGGCACTTAGGTTGCTTCCACGTCTTGGCTATTGTAAACAGAGCTGCAATGAACATTGGGGTACATAGGACTTTTGGGACTGCTGACTTCAAGCTCTTTGGATAAATACCCAGTAGTGGGATGGCTGGTAGTTCTATTTTTAATTTTTTGAGGAATTTCCATACTGTTTTCCATAGTGGCTGCACCAGTTTGCATTCCCACCAGCAGTGTATGAGGGTTCCTTTTTCTCGGCAACCTCTCCAACATTTGTTGCTATTAGTTTTAGATATTTTTGTCATTCTAACGGGTGTAAGGTGATATCTTAGTGTAGTTTTGATTTGCATTTCCCTGATGATCAGCGACGATGAGCATCTTTTCATGTGCCTATTGGCCATCAGTATATCTTCTTTGGAGAAATGTCTGTTCATGTCTCCAGCCCATTATTTGATTGGGTTGTTTGATGTTTTGTTGTTGAGTTGCGAGAGTTCTTTATATATTATGGATATTAAGCCTTTGTCAGATATATGACTTGCAAATATTTTTTCCCAGTTAGTGGGTTGTTTTTTTGTTTCAATCCTGTTTTCATTTGCCTTGAAGAAGCTCTTTAATCTGATGAAGTCCCATTTGTTTATTCTTTCTATTGTTTCCCTTCTCTGAGAAGGCATGGTGTCCGAAAAGATCCTTTTAATACTGATGTCAAAGAGTGTACTGCCTACGTTTTCTTCCAGAAGGCTTATGGTTTCAGGTCTCACCTTTAGGTCTTTAATCCATTTTGAGTTTATTTTGGTGAATGGTGAAAAAGAATGGTCAATTTTCATTCTTTTACATGTGGCTTTCCAGTTTTCCCAGCACCATTTGTTGAAAAGACTTTCTTTTCTCCATTGTATGCCCTCAGCTCCTTTGTCAAAGATAAGCTGTCCATAGATGTGTGGTTTTATTTCTGGGCTTTCAATTCTGTTCCATTGATCTGTGCACCTGTTTTTGTATCAGTACCATGCTGTTTTGATTACTGTAGCTTTGTAGTATGTTTTGAAGTCAGGGATTGTGATGCCTCCCGTTTTGTTCTTTTTTCTCAGGATTGCTTTAGAAATTCGGGGTCTTTTGTTGCCCCATATGAATTTTAGAATTCTTTGTTCTAATTCTGTAAGAATGTCATTGGGATTCTGATTGGGATGGCATTGAATCTGTAGATTGCTTTAGGTAGAATGGACATTTTAACTATGTTTATTCTTCCAATCCATATACATGGAATGTCTTTCCATCTCCTTATGTCGTCATCCAATTCTCTCAGAAAGGCCTTGCAATTTTCATTATATAGGTCCTTCACTTCCTTAGTTAAGTTTACCCCAAGGTATTTTATTCTTTTTGTTGCGATTGTGAATGGTATTGTATTCTTGAGTTCTTTTTCTGTTGGTTCATTACTGGAGTATAGAAATCCTACTGATTTATGCAAATTGATTTTATACCCTGCAACTTTGCTGTAGTTGTTGATTACTTCTAACAGTTTTCCAATAGATTCTTTGGGGTTTTCTATATATAAGATCATGTCGTCTGCAAACAGCGAGAGTTTCACTTCTTCCCTCCCTATTTGGATTCCTTTTATTCCTTTTTCTTGCCTGATTGTTCTGGCCAGGACCTCCAGTACTATGTTAAATAAGAGTGCTGATAGAGGGCATCCTCGTCTCGTTCCTGTTTTCAGGGGGATGGGGTTCAGTTTTTGCCCATTGAGTATGATGTTGGCTATGGGTTTGTCGTATATGGCCTTTATTATGTTGAGGTAGTTTCCTTCTATGCCCATTTTGTTCAGAGTTTTTATCATAAATGGCTGTTGGATCTTGTCAAATGCCTTCTCTGCATCTATTGAGATGATCATGTGGTTTTTATTCCTCAGTTTGTTGATGTGGTGTATCACGTTGATTGATTTGCAGATGTTGAACCATCCCTGTGTCCGTGGTATGAATCCCACCTGATCCTGATGTATGATCCTTTTGATGAATTGCTGAATTCTGGTTGCCAAAATTTTGTTTAGAATTTTTGCATCTATGTTCATCAGTGATATTGGCCTGTAGTTCTCTTTTTTCGTGGTGTCCTTGTCAGGTTTTGGTATCAGCGTGATGTTGGCCTCATAGAATGTGTTAGGAAGTGTTCCATCTTCCCTAATTTTTTGGAATAGCTTGAAAAGGATAGGTATTAAATCCTCTCTGAAAGTTTGGTAGAATTCCCCAGGAAAGCCATCTGGTCCTGGGGTTTTATTCTTTGGGATGTTTTGGATTGCTGTTTCAATCTCTTTCCTTGTGATTGGTCTGTTCAAATTGTCTGCCTCTTCTTGAGTGAGCTTTAGGAGATTGTAGGAGTCCAAGAATTTATCCATTTCCTCTAGGTTATCCATTCTGTTGGCATATAGTTTTTCATAGTATTCTCTTATAATCTGTTGTATTTCTGCAGAGTCTGTTATTACTTCTCCTCGCTCATTTCTGATTTTGTTTATTTGAGCTTTCTCTCTTTTTTTCTTTGTAAGTCTGGCTAGTGGTTTGTCAATTTTATTTATCTTCTCAAAAAACCAGCTCTTTGTCTCATTGGTCCTTTCTACTGCCTTTTTCGTTTCAATAGTATTTATTTCTGCTCTGATTTTTATTATTTCTCTCCTTCTGCTGACTTTCAGCTTCATTTGTTCTTTTTTCTCTAGTTCAGTTAGGTGTGCTTTAAGGTTGCTTATTTGGGATTTTTCTTGTTTGTTAAGATGTGCCTGTATTGCGATGAATTTTCCTCTTAATACAGCTTTTGCTGTATCCCATATGAGTTGGTATGGCATGCTATCATTTTCATTTGTTTCCAGGTATTTTTTTATTTCTTCTTTAATTTCTTCAATGATCCATTGCTTGTTCAGTAGTGTGTTGTTTAGTCTCCACATCTTTGTGCCTTTCTCAGCTTTTTTCTTGTAATTAATTTCTAGCCTTATAGCACTATGATCTGAGAAGATGCTTGTTATTATTTCAATTTTTTTTAAATTTGTAGAGGCTTGCCTTGTTTCCCAACATATGGTCTATCCTAGAGAATGTTCCATGTGCACTTGAGAAGAATGTGTATTCAGCTCTTTCAGGGTGGAGTGATCTATATATGTCTATTAAGTCCAATTGTTTTAGTTTTTCATTTAGCTCCACTATTTCCTTGTTGATTTTCTGTCTGGATGATCTGTCAATTGATGTGAGTGGGGTGTTGAGGTCCCCTACTATTATTGCGTTGTTTTTAACATTTTCCTTTAGGTCTGTTAATAGTTGCTTTATGAATCTTGGTGCTCCTGTGTTGGGTGCATAGATATTTATAAGCGTTATTTCTTCTTGATGAAGTGTCCCTTTGATCATTATATATTGTCCCTCTGTGTCTCTCTTTACCTGTCTTATTTTGAAATCCACTTGGTCTGATATGAAAATTGCAACACCTGCCTTTTTTTCCTTGCTGTTTGCTTGAAGTATTGTCCTCCACCCCTTCACCCTGAGTCTGTGTTTGTCCTTGGGGCTGAGGTGTGTTTCCTGGAGGCAACAAATTGTTGGATCTTGTTCTTTAATCCATTTTGCCACTCTGTGTCTTTTTATTGGAGAGTTCAATCCGTTTACATTGAGAGTGATTATTGATGCATGTGGACTTAATGCTGTTAATCTGTCACTCGTTATCTTGTTTTCCTGCGTTTCTTTTCCTGTGTGCTTTAGACTACCCATTTAATACTGCAATGTCTTATGCTGGGTTTCTTAGATCTTTCCTTATTTATGATTTGTGACTCTGTTCTGTACTTTATTTTAGTGTCTACCTTGAAGTTTGTATTTAGAATCTCGTGTATAATATAGTCTATTCTCTGGTGGTCTCTTACCTACTTGACCAATACTGATTTAGACCCTTTGCTCTTCCCCTCCTAAATAATTATTTTCATTTTTTATTCCAACTCGTCTTATTCATTTGTAGTTAGAGTGCTAAGATCGTCCTTGTTTTGGTAGTTTCCTTACCTTTACCCTAATGCTATAGTTGAATATTTGCTATCCTGTTCTGGTTCTATCCATTGGTCTCCCTAGTCTGTGGATTGCATCCCCTTTCTCCCTTTTTTCTTTTTTCAAGTATGAGAGCCTTCTTGAGGATTTCTTGTAATGGAGGGCTTTAAGTTACAAATTCCCTTAACTTTTGTTTGTCTGGAAAAGATTTAATTTCTCCCTCATATCTGAAGGGAATTCTTGCTGGATAGAGTATTCTTGGCTCAAGGTTTTTATCCTTTAAAGCTTTGAATATATCACTCCATTCTCTCCTAGCTTGTAGGGTTTCTGTAGAGAAATCTGCTGACAGTCTGATAGGGGCTCCTTTATAGGTTATTCTCTTTTTTTCCTTACTTCCCTGAGTATTCTCTCCTTATCATTCCTATTTGCCAACTTTACTACTATGTGCCTTGGGGTAGCTCTTTTTACATTGACAAATCTAGGAGATCTAAAACCCTCCTCTACACACATTTCTCCGTTGATCCCTAGATTTGGGAAGTTCTCTTCAATAATTTCGTTAAGCACACTTTCTGCTCCATTTTCCTTTTCCATATTCTCGGGAATTCCTATGATCCTTATGTTCTTACTCCTCATTGAATCCATTATCTCTCGGAGATTTTCCTCATTTTTTTAAATTCTTAGTTCTCTTTCTTCCTCTGTCTGGCGCCATTCAGCCTGTCTATCCTTGATTATGCTAATTTTCTCCTCTA